TTAAAATTCAGTATGAAATTGTCCTGTGGAGAGTTAAGGTAATTGAGTGCAGTGTATCATGTCCTGGTTGGCATCACATTGTGTGCTCCGGATGTGCTCCGTGTAATAATGTGTCTCTTTACAGACAGCATTGGTCATGGAAATTAGCCAGGATAAGCATGTTGTTAACATAGTAAAGTTGTGGACAATTTGAAATATTGTTATGGAAATAGAAACCAGATTCGTTTCTTCCTTACACTTGCACAGTCTTCGTTGGTATGACTAAATGGAGTGAAAAAGTGCCAATGATTTGATCTTCACGTGAAAAGTCAGTCCAAGGTGATGGTTTACCATAAATTGTAGTTGTTTTTTTTAATATGAAAATCACCCCCTCAAAAATCCATGTTGAAATGTCTAATTCTGATTCATGTAAACTCATCATATTGGTTTGTGAAAGTTGTACTTATTTCATAAATGATGTACATCTCATGGGATACCTTGAACAGTAGACTACCAGTCTCAGGAAGCAGGTACCTTGAACAGTAGACAAGCAACCTTGGTAAGCCGGAACATTGAACAGTAGACAAACAACCTTGGTAAGCGGGTACCTTAAACAGTAGACAAACAACCTTGGTAAGCCGGTACATTGAACAGTAGACACACAACCTTGGTAAGCCGGTACATTGAACAGTAGACAAGCAACCTTGGTAAGCGGGTACCTTGAACAGTAGACAAACAACCTTGGTAAGCCGGTACATTGAACAGTAGACAAACAACCTTGGTAAGCCGGTACATTGTACAGTAGACAAGCAACCTTGGTAAGCCGGTTCATTGAACAGTAGACAACCTCGGTGAGCCGGTACATTGAACAGGAGACAAACAACCTCGGTAAGCGGGTACTTTGAACAGTAGACAAACAACCTTGGTAAGCCGGTACATTGTACAGTAGACAAGCAACCTTGGTAAGCCGGTTCATTGAACAGTAGACAACCTCGGTGAGCCGGTACATTGAACAGGAGACAAACAACCTCGGTAAGCGGGTACCTTGAACAGTAGACAAACACCCTCGGTAAGCCGGTACATTGAACAGTAGACACACAACCTCGGTGAGCGGGTACCTTGAACAGTAGACAAAAAACCTTGGTAAGCCAGTACATTGAACAGTAGACAGACAACCTCAGTAAGCGGGTACATTGAACAGTAGACACACAACCTGGGTAAGCGGGTACCTTGAACAGAAGACAAGCAACGTCGGTAAGCCGGTACATTGAACAGTAGACAAACAACCTCGGTAAGCGGGTACCTTGAACTGTAGACAAGCAACCTTGGTAAGCGGGTACATAGATCAGAAGACAAACAACCTCGGTAAGCCGGTACATTGAACAGTAGACAAACAACCTTGGTAAGCCGGTACATTGAACAGAAGACAAGCAACCTCGGTGAGCTGGTACATTGAACAGAAGACAAGCAACCTCAGTAAGCTGGTACATTGAACAGAAGACAAGCAACCTCGGTAAGCTGGTACATTGAACAGTAGACACACAACCTCGGTAAGCCAGTACATTGAACAGTAGACAAACAACCTTGGTAAGCGGGTACATTGAACAGTAGACACACAACCTCGGTAAGCCGGTACATTGAACAGTAGACACACAACCTGGGTGAGCGGGTACCTTGAACAGAAGACAAGCAACCTCGGTAAGCTGGTACATTGAACAGTAGACAAACAACCTCGGTAAGCCGGAACATTGAAAAGTAGACAAACAACTTTGGTTAGCGGGTACATTAAACAGTAGACAAACAACCTCGGTGAGCTGGTACATTGAACAGAAGACAAGCAACCTCGGTAAGCTGGTACATTGAACAGAAGACAAGCAACCTCGGTAAGCGGGTACCTTGAACAGAAGACAAGCAACCTCGATAAGCTGGTACATTGAACAGTAGAAAACCTTGGTAAGCCAGTACATTGAACAGTAGACACACAACCTGGGTAAGCCAGTACATTGAACAGTAGACAAACAACCTCAGTAAGCGGGTACCTTGAACAGTAGACAAACAACCTCAGTAAGCGGGTACCTTGAACAGTAGACAAGCAACCTTGGTAAGCCGGAACATTGAACAGTAGACAAACAACCTTGGTAAGCGGGTACCTTGAACAGTAGACAAACAACCTTGGTAAGCCAGTACATTGAACAGTAGACAAGCAACCTTGGTAAGCCGGTTCATTGAACAGTAGACAAACAACTTTGGTAAGCGGGTACATTAAACAGTAGACAAGCAACCTTGGTAAGCGGGTACCTTGAACAGAAGACAAGCAACCTCGGTAAGCTGGTACATTGAACAGTAGACAAACAACCTTGGTAAGCCGGAACATTGAAAAGTAGACAAACAACTTTGGTAAGCGGGTACATTAAACAGTAGACAAACAACCTCGGTAAGCGGGTACTATGAACAGTAGACAAACAACCTCGGTAAGCCAGTACCTTGAACAGTAGACAAACAACCTTGGTAAGCCAGTACATTGAACAGTAGACAAGCAACCTTGGTAAGCGGGTACCTTGAACAGAAGACAAGCAACCTCGGTAAGCTGGTACATTGAACAGTAGACAAACAACCTTGGTAAGCCGGTACATTGAACAGTAGACAAACAACCTCGGTAAGCAGGTACATTGAACGGAAGACAAGCAACCTCGGTAAGCTGGTACATTGAACAGTAGACAACCAGCCTTGGTTAGTGGGCTTGTTCCAGTTTCTAACTTTTCAGACTAGTGAATGTTGATTGGTCCAGTTTTACTCTGTAAATGGATAAAGTAAACAAACTTGCAAATAATATTCAGAGTATTTGCTCTGAAGCAGAATAAAATTTTAGATCTTGTTACCTTTGTAAAATTACTGTTTTTCATATTTGTAAGCTTGCTTCTGATTCAAAACTGCAAACTTGCACAATTTTTAGCTCCAGAAAATGTATCTCTTAATGCATCAAGTTTGACATCTAAAGCCTCCCCAATGGCCTGATAGGGGTATTATGCCCAGGTCAACGCTGACATGGATTTTGTGTGTGTTTGCCAGTATGATTGACGGAGATTCGGAGATGGGCTTGTGGTTTCGGAGGGGTAACTTGATCCCGTAACAATTGATAATAGCTAATCAAACTGGGGGACGTAAATGCTATTTCCTGTTCTCATAAGCTGAATAGATATTTGAAGGGAAATGTTCACGAGGCGTAACGCTTGGACTGAGTACAGGCAGCAGCACTGTGGAAGGTGTTTGCAGTGTGTTTCTTCCTGGGCCCTGCACTGATCAGTGTATATTTATGATGTAAAATAGGGCTGAAAAAAATCCAACATTTGGCTCTCTTATAATTTCATATCTTTATGTGGTACATTTGCTTTGGTATTATAATATTCAGTAACAAAAATAATGATTTTTTAAATGAGCCACCCAGCAGGAAATATTACACCCGGAAATATTTTTTGCTTGACATATTCTTTTGGTGACAAGTTTACAGCTGCATGCTTCAATGGTCCTCCTAATTTTATGCCTCCCATTTCGATATGCTCAGTGATGTTGTTATGATGTGTATTGAAATTTGGTAAGGATCTGATAATATTTGTAGCCATATTTTGAATAATAATTTTCCATTCCACAAGAACCCAATGACATGTGAAGGCCCACGCCCAGCAAGGGTTACCATAATATTTGAAAAAGGTTTAAAATTGATAGGATAGGAATTAAGGCAATTTTATGGGTAGGACTTCGTATTATTGCATATTTAACAATGATTATTGGGTTGAGTAGATGGGAAACCCCACAGGTAAGCTCTGGAAAGGATTGTGGGGATAACGCCCCCACCAGGGCTTGAATGAGACATCAGGTTTATTTCTTTCCCATATAGAAACGCACAGAGGTGGCCCCTACTTTGATGTTGGGATGGCCTAGGTCAGGGAAATAAACACTGAACTGTGTACGGAAATCAAAGCTTTTCTTTATTTGCAAAGTTTCTCGTAAATACTGCAAGTACCATGTCTGAACAAAGGTACCTGGAATATTGGAACAAGTCTAGAAGGTGGTACAGAGTTGCCATTTTGTTTTGCTGGACTCATTGTTCCTTCATTCATATCTCTATGTTAGTGTCTTGCCCATGTGGGAATGTGTCATGACTTAAAACGCCACGCTTGTCCACTTGCCCGAGACTTCTAAATCGTGCAGAGGACATTGCTGGTAGTCCTCATTTACCTGTAGCATTTGCGGTCTATTATTCTCAATGCTTCAAATTTACTACAAATTGGAACTGAATAAGACTGACAGAAAATGTAACCAGAATAAACAGCTATATAAGCAGGACTGGCTGCAAATTGTCAAGGAATGGTGTAATTAGGTACACATTAGTCCTGTGGACTAGTCTTAAAGAAAGCAGATTTCTGAGGCAGCACTCACCCACTCACCTACTTCACTCACTCTCCCAACCCTCTCACCTCATACAATCAAAACCTTCTCACGCACGCACGCACTCTCTCTCACTCACTCACTCACCTCACACAATCAAAACCTCATGCACGCACATACTCTCACTCACTCACTCTCATAAACCCAATTACCTTAAATTACACAATCAAAACCTTCTCACGCACTCACTGACTCACTCACCTCACACAATCAAAACCTACTCACGCACGCACATACTCTCACTCACTCACTCACTGACTCTCATAAACTCACTCACCTCACACAATCAAAACCTACTCACTCACTCTCAATCACCTACTTCACTCTCTCTCCCAAAACCACTCACCTCACTCACTCACTCTCAAAACCCACTTACCTCACATTCAAAACACACTCACTCACTCACTTACTCACTCTCCGCTAAAAAAAATAATCATCATATTTTTTTCATACCCTGCATAAATATTAAGACGCTATTGTATGAAGGCATTTTAAAATGAAATAAGGCTTGTCCACACACATTTATTATAATCATTATTTTTTTCTCTTATGTTAACTGCTCTGTTTGTTTGCAGGTATGCTGTGATATTAGCCTTTGATGTGAAAGTTGAACGTGAAGCCCAAGACATGGCAGACAATCTCGGCGTGAAGATATTCATGGCGGACATCATCTACCACTTGTTTGATAGATTCATGGAATTCAGAGCGGAGCTGAAGAGGAAAAAACAGGAGGAGTTTAAACATATAGCAGTGTTTCCTTGTAAACTGCGTGTTTTGCCTCAGTTCATATTTAACTCCCGGGACCCCATAGTGTTGGGAGTATCAATAGAGAATGGTTTCATTAAGGAGGGCACGCCCGTTTGTGTGCCATCTAAGGAGGTATGTATGACAACTTGAAATAGGCCTTTCTAAATATCCCCACGAATGTTTACTACTCAAAAGAAGTTAAAGAAAACCTGATTCTTTCATATTACTTTTGTTAATCTGTCATGTCATGACAGACTAAGTATGAAAGACCTGTTTCCATAATATGACATTGTACGTTTTTATAAGGAGCAGCAGAGTGGCCCAGTCAGAGTGCACTTATTAATCACTCTGAATTCCTGGGTTTGACTCTTTGTCCTTCTACAAGAGTATAGTGGGGACTGTAAGGAATAAGTCTCACCACTTCATACAGCTGACATTTAACACACATGATGAAATATGACAGCATGCTCAAGATTTGTGTGATCAGGTTCACAACATTCGCTATTTCAGCTCTGAAAAAGTTTTATGGTCGACACTTCCAAATTGACTCATCAGTGACAAACATTGTCTGATGCAGCTCTCTGTTTTCACTTGAAACCATATGGGCCTATGTTTTTTCATGTGAACAAATGACATGCCTTTGTTTGAGGGTGCCTGCCAGTGGGGAAGGATGCACTCACCTTTTCATGAATACCTGGAGTCATTGTTTAATAGTGATGCACAGACACATGCTTGTTATTAGCTGGAATCATATAATGGACTCTGATTTTAGCAGATATTTCTGAATATTGATGTGGTGGCACGTGGTCCTGTGCACAGCGCACAGGTCATAAATCAGGTGAAGTTAAGCACCGGCAGTCTTGGAGAGTTGTGGAATGGGTGACTGTGTTCAGCAGCTTGGCTTCTGAGAGCTTCTTGGGCTTCAGTCCTGCCTCACATTGTAGCACATGTAGCACATTTGTTGTCTCCTAAGGCAAGTGACTTTAATGCAGTACAGTCTGAATAACGCAGTGCAGTCTGAATAATGCAGTACAGTCTGAATAATGCTGAGCAGTCCCAATAATGCAGTGCAGTACGAATAATGCAGAAGTCTGAATAATGCAGTGCAGTCTGAATAATGCAGTACAGTTTGAACAATGCTCTGCATTCTGAATAATGCAGTACAGTCTGAATAATGCAGTGCAGTCCCAATAATGCAGAGCAGTCCCAATAATGCAGTGCAATATGAATAATGCAGTACAGTCTGAAAAATGCAGTGCAGTCTGAATAATATAGTGCAGTCTGAATAATGCAGTAGTCTGAATAATGCAGTGCAGTCTCAATAATGAGGTACAGTCTGAATAATGCACCACTCCGAATAATGCAGTGCAATCTTAATAATGCAGTGCAATCTTAATAATGCAGTGCAGTCTGAAAAAGGCAGTGTTGTCTGAATAATATAGTGCAGTCTGAATAATGCAGTAGTCTGAATAATGCAGTGCAGTCTTAATAATGCAGTAGTCTGAAAAATGCAGTTGTCTGAATAATGTTGTGCATTCTGAATAATGCAGTGCAGTCCGAATAATATAGTGCAGTCTGAATAATGCAGTAGTCTGAATAATGCAGTGCAGTCCGAATAATATAGTGCAGTCTGAAATAATGCAGTAGTGTGAATAATGCAGTGCAGTGTGAATAATGCAGTAGTGTGAATAATGCAGTGCAGTCTGAATAATGCATAGCAGTCTGAAATAATGCAGTGCAGTCTTAATAATGCAGTGCATTCTGAATAATGCAGTGCAGTCCGAATAATATAGTGCAGTCTGAATAATGGCAGTAGTCTGAATAATGCGGTGCAGTCCGAATAATATAGTGCAGTCTGAAATAATGCAGTAGTGTGAATAATGCAGTGCAGTCTGAATAATGCAGTGCAGTCTTAATAATGCAGTAGTCTGAAAAATGCAGTTGTCTGAATAATGCGGTGCATTCTGAATAATGCAGTGCAGTCCGAATAATATAGTGCAGTCTGAATAATGCAGTAGTCTGAATAATGCAGTAGTCTGAATAATGCACTGCAGTCCGAATAATATAGTGCAGTCTGAAATGATGCAGTTTTATGAACGAAACAAAGGCCAGGAGTATGAGGATTGTTCAGTTGATCAAGGGATTTATCATGGTTTGCTCAGTACAAGTTGAGGGTTAAATTTGTCCCATCCAGCGGAAGCAGATGAATTTTTGTGTTTGTCGTGTATCGAGTGGGATGTCTTAGTTGTATTGCTACAAGTATCAGATGTGATATTCCGCCTATTCATTCAACCGATTATTCTTTACCTACTAAAGACGGTTGTTACTCGCGAGCAAACAAACTAGTCGAAGGCGCGACACCATCTAATACCTGGCCACACACACCTTTGACCTTTGATCTTGACCTGTCAGGTAATCTTTGCTCGCTGATCGCTTCGAACGCTATACCTTGCCAATCTTGCATGTCTACACTGTTCGCAAGAGGATGAGAGATGGGCTGAATGGGGTTGTATCGAGCATAGGTATTAGCGGGAATTTCAATTGAGATTTGTACCACGTTACTAATTCCTTTCCTAAGCTTGGTTGGGCAGGCCATAGGCTGCACGGGCTCTGAAGCTGTCGTCAAACAAGCAGGACCTGGAATGAGAAGAGTGTTGGCGTTGTTTCTGGCAGGGGGGTTACCTTCCCTGCATTTTGTATTTTTTTCAAACCTATCAAAATCTTATATTTTCTAACATTTTATATTATCATATATATGCAAGGGATGTTAAATGCTGCTGAAAAGTTCTCTCCTCTAAAATCCCTTAAAATCATATTCTAAAAAATCAATAATATGCAACTAAATTCTTTTTTTTGTCAAATGTTAATTTGTAATCATTATGATTTTAAGATATTATTTGATTATGTTAAGTTTGTTCCATTTTTAACATCAGCAACTTCAGACAGAATTGACTTAGTATTTGGCAGGATAATTGACCAGTGTTATGTTCCCTTTCATTGTTATTGAGGAATAATATTTCACTTTATAGCCACAATAATATATGTAGCCTCTATTTTGGTAGCTGTTTCCTTTATCAAGCACAACAGCTCCACTCTGAGAAAGGAAAAAGTTCCTATCATTTACAGCATATTGGATCTGCTTTTGTGAAAATAGCAATTTGTGGGACGTGGGTCCTTCTCGAGTTATTCAACCCATCTAAGAAGTCCTTATTTCTGACTGATCAGCTTCTATTGTCAAGTCTTCCTGTTATTGTTTACGTAACAAGGGCACTGTTGGCCATGTTGCCTCCAAAAGATCAAAGCTGTGCCAAAATTCAATATGGCCGCCCTTTACGTCTGCTGCCAACACATACACTACAAGGTTGTTGTGTCATTCGAAGCAAAGGCTTACTGCACGTTCACACATTTTAGCATGTAATTAAGTTGTATGGCTACGAATTTGACAAGTAGTTTGTGATTTAAAATGTCTTGAAGAAATTCCATTTGCAACATGAAAATATTCAAATGATAAGCCTGAGTTCTTTTTCCAAGTAACCTGTTGCACTGATACATGTCTGCATTCGATATGTATAGAAGATGATGGATTTTTTCTCAACAGCTGAAATAATATTTCATTGACTTTAGGAAGTGAATGAATTTTTAATTCAAGAGGATGTAAGGTGAATTAGAAACATAAGCCAAGATTATCACATTAGTTTGATGGTTCTGCTTTTTTTTTCATTATCTTGACTCAGGTGTAGTGGCAACTGTGGCAAGCTGATGAGGTGAAGGAGGGTTGTGGGTTGATGGAAAGTGGGTTTTGTAGGAGGAGGGGTGCAAAGAGGTAAATGAAACAAGTGGGGGAGGGGGGGGTGCTGGGGAGGGGAGGGAACTCCAGGAAGGGTATCGTTGAAGCTTAGGTGAGGGAGGGTAGGCGGTTTGTTTATGAATATTTCTGATTACAGGAAGGAAGCGAGAACATTCTCAAAATATGGCCAGGAAATATTGTGCATCTGTGTAGCTGCAAGCGGGAAAGCTGGGGTTGTTTTTATCTCAGAGAGCTCTCTTGTATGTTAGGATATATTTGGATTAGTTTATTTTGAATATGAAGATATTTTGGGTCAATGGGATTTTAGATTTGGCTGATATGTGCAGGCTCATATTGGAAATGCATTGCTCACAGGAAGTTCAGTTGTTGGTAATACAGGGGATGTGGGTGATGACCATTATATTGAATGAATTATTTAAAGGGCCATTTCACAATTTGAGATTTAAGATAATTATGCCATGAGTCCTTCATGAGCTACAAAAGAAGAATGGGCTATTTATCTCAGTTGAGTACTTTTAAGAATAAAAGGAAATTTCAAAGATACCAGTTTCATTTTTCTCACCGTCAAAAGTTCACTAACAGATCTGTAGGTGTTTCAGATATATTACCGAGCGTAATTTGGTTTATGAAAATAAGTCCTAAATGTGACATGAAAACACTGCCCATACACACTGTTGCATCTCAACATGGCATCAGCTATCAATAGATTTATTGAATAGATTAATTCAAACAGCTCCACCCTTCATGAAGATGATGCTATGCAAATGCAGCCATGAATCAGTCTCTCATGATATAACTGTTGGGATCTTTGGGTTGTCATTGTACTGGACTCGGATGCAAGAATTGATGTCATTCATCTTGCAATAGTGGATTGGATCTCTATGTTCACATTGTAATGGAGTGGACCTCTATGCTCACATTGTAGTGGAGAGAACATCTATGCGCACAATGTAGTGGAGTGAACATCTATGCTCACATTGTAGTGGAGAGAACATCTATGCTCACAATGTAGTGGAGTGAACATCTATCCTCACATTGTAGTGGAGAGAACATCTATGCTCACATTGTAGTGGAGTAAACATCTATGCTCACAATGTAGTGGAGAGGACATCTATGCTCACATTGTAGTCGAGAGGACATCTATGCTCACAATGTAGTGGAGAGGACCTCTATGCTCACAATGTAGTGGAGAGGACATCTATGCTCACATTGTAGTAGAGAGGACCTCTATGCTGGTATTGTAGTGGATAGAACATCTGTGCTTGTATTGTAGTTGAGAGGACCACTATGCTCACAATGTAGTGGAGAGGACCTCTATACTCAC